CTGGATTCTCTATTTATCCCTCTGCTCGGATCCCTGGTTTTTGTTCTGATATCTCGAATTATGTTACCAGAATTGATTAGATTATCGAACCTGTCAATCATTATGGTCTGCGTACTTCTCTCCATAATGGCATCCAGCCTGTTATCCAGGTTAACGTCTGCCTGTTTCTGTTGATTTCGGAAAAGCCTCGCTTCTGATTTCAAGATTTGTTCTCTTTGCTAGGCCTCCCGAGTCATCTTGAATAGGCTAGTGGCCAGGCAGGCTCTGTTTTTTTTTCAGTTTTCCGCTTTTCGTTGAGGCTACTTTCTAGTCGGACTATGTGAACTGCTCTTGCTCGCTCACTTTTTTAATGAACCTAATAGCTGATTATTCCACTGAAATTTCATCGCCAACTAAGGGCGTTATGAAAGGTGACTTGATGCTCTTCGTGACAAGCATTTTGATACTCGTTGAGACTAGAGCCTCTTCTCTCACCTTGGATTTGTAGCAATCTGCTTCCACCTCTGTCAAGGTCAGTTATGACCTGTTCGCTGAAATCATGGTCATCCCGGCATGATTTCAAGTGGCCGTCGTCATTAAAAAGTTACTGGATTATTGCATTTTTCCTCTGCTGTTTTGATTGTCCTGAATGATCCATGGTAATCAGTAGTGCATCCGGTCATTGCGGGCGCGTTTTCTCTCATTGAGGAAAGCACTCGAAACTTACTGATAAATTGTAGTCTTATTTTTCTTCATCCGCGAAATCGTCTGCAATTGGCAGGTTAACCTCGCCGCCGGCTCCAGCTCCCATGGTGTAAGGGAAGATGCTGCCAAGAAGATTATTCAATTTGTGCTTTACTTTTTCCATAAAAGGTGTCTTCTGCCTGCCTTGAGCTCCTTGAACCATGGTTAGGTCCGCTGGTGATCTCTCGATTGCAGGAATTTCAACTGAGAAGTCGGACTTTTCCGAAATTTCTTCTCGATCCAGTCTTCGGGTTGAAGTAACAAGATCGTTTCCCTGTTCTACTGTAGACGGCTAACCAGTTAGTCTTCTTGTCCTGGCTTCCTCGACTCTACGCTTTTCAGGATCCAACACGTGGACTGGACTGTATTGTACAGCCATTTCTGCTTGACTTCTTGTTTCAACCTTTCCTTCTGAAATATTCTTCTATGTCTTGCTTTGAGCTTTCCGGTTCTTAGTGACGAAGGGATCGCCCACTGTGGTTCTCAGCTGTTTCGGTATAAAACTCCTAGAGGTTTCAATCAACCTAGGTGTCAATAATTTGTCTAGACTCACCTTAACCTATCGTTGTCAGTCGCTCACTCAACTAGCTTAATTACTATCTGGATTAGATAAAACTAACTTTAGATCACACTAACACAAAACAAAACTGTTCTTGAGTTAAATTACTAAGCGACCACAAATTTGATAATTTTATAACAGTACAACGTATGTTCACGTTAAACACAGCAAAAATTATTATAATACATATGAATTTGCATCAATCGAGTTATTTCAAAAAATTCGTTTTCCAATTTTTGTAAAAAATCGATTGTTTGACCTAAAGATTGGACTGTTAAGGGTGTGATTAGTTGAAAAAAGGAATAGAAGTTTTAATTTGTGTAGTATGTGTGAAAGTTCTAATAAAATTTTACTCCTCCGGGTCTGTTCATCATCTAATTTGAGATGCTTAACTCGGAAACTTGCAACTCGGTGAAAGATCAATTCAGTGCGGTCACTGACGTGCCCCCCACAGATCGATATCGAACATTCTGTACCGAAAATGATACAAAATTGTTTCACGATACCCCAAACTCCATTGTTGTCGTACTTGTGACCTTTTCTGAGCTCCTTGCATTGCTGGATTGGTCCTAGCCTTCAATCAGTTGACCCTTCCGGGTTGAGTCAACATTAGCATTATCAAGCCTAAATACTCAAAGAACCCTACAGACCAGCTGCAGAAGAAGGCACTACATATTGATCGTTACAACCAGGTATGATTTAAATTAATGTATCTTATAGCAAAAAACAGGAAATTCGGATCACATGTCGTCTGGGAGGTGTTCACTAATGAATTTATGTTCTAATACTTTTTTTGGTTTGTTTGATTAATTTTTTTTTGGTTTGTCTTCATAATATACTCTTTTTTGTTTGGTGTCTTGTATATCTATAGATTTTTTGGTAATTCGTTTCAGCAATGACGGGACGGCCAATCCGGCTCCCTTCATGATACGTGAATTTTGGTGTAAACTAGATTAAAAAGCTGAATCGGGGAATCCAGAAGGCTTTCGCGTTTTGGACCACCCTTCCGGTTGTCGTTTAGGAGCCTTATTGTGAGCATAAAAATGAGTTTTACGAGGTTTTGACCGTCTCTGCCATCGCCAATTTTGCTTGGTCTTTCGTAACGTCGCGTTGACACAAAACTCATTACTGTCTCAAAACCATCAGCCGAGACCCGCAATTTAACTTAGTTGCATGTGAAAAAGGGAACTCATGGCTGAGTCTCAGTTTCCTCAGGCCACTAGATCACTCCTAAAAACGGCTGGAGGGCTGATACTCTGTCAATTTGTATCCTTGTTTTACCTTTGTTTCGCTCAGAAAAAAAAATAAATTTTTTCCATCGGTCATGGATCGACCCTTTCCTTAAATCCTATCTTGAAATCAAAACTAGATGCAGGTCAATTAAGTCAATTCAGGTCATTCCTGCAAGCTAAAAATTAAACAAAAGTTCTCAGTACAACGGAAGACCTTTCCGAGTTCGCGGTGTTCGTTGAAGAAGCTCCTTTTTCGCCACCAGGAAGAATTGCTATGGTCACTTCTGACCTTTCCAATTGGTAAAAGATTTCCAGTAACAATTGTAAAAGCAAATTGTTATTTTTCACGTGTTTCGTCAGATTTTTGCCAGCAAAAATTGTTGTTTTGATTTTTAGGGTTTCATTTTTTGCACAAAAATCAAATTGCTACGTGTCATGCGCGCTCAAATAAAAAAAAACATTTTCAAAACTTCCACATTATCCTTCCTTTTTTTTTATACATTTCACTAATAACGTCAGTTATCTTACGAACAAAAATCGACTGCATTCTGGTCGAATGACACAGTAGCAGCGGTGAATTGCAGGTTCTTTTAATACTAAATAACTACAATTTTAAAAATTATCATAATGTGATCAAAGTTAGAAACTTAGCTCAATTAGGTTGAAAATAATAGTTTTCATTTAATCAGGAGTTAAAATTCATTTAAACTTTTAATCTACGCAATTTTCCTGTGTTGAAAAGAACTTTCCCGAGTTATCACAGGTTTCGAGAGAAAGGATGGTATTGCAAAACGTTATTGTCATAAGACAAAATCAATTCAAAATTAGAAGGAAAACTGAACAAAATTTTAGCAGTAAATACAAATTGCCTGGTTTTTTGTCCTCCATTTTTGCAAATTGTTGCTTGCTGAAATTGCAACCCTAAATAAACATTATGAAGAGCTCAAATTTTTTCTCAAATACCAACGCCATAATGAAACTAGGTTTGTACATTTTGACTGACCCTTACTTTAAAAAACCTCGCAGTTGAGAAAACTTACAAAAACAATTGAACTATCAACTATGCTAACAAAACTGGTGTAATTTTAGAAGATAAAACTTGCTACAAAGAACGAAGTCATGTCTGACGTTCAACATTAACCTGGATATTGCGTATGCTTATTTGAACAGGATTTAAAAAAACCTATTCAAATCATGAACAATTCATAATAGAATTTCCAAATGCAAGTTGTAACAATACGAAAAACAGAAATTAAACTAAAATTTTCAACAGATATAATTTTGAATGTCAGTTAATTTGATTTTGTTTGACAGTTCGAGTTATTATAAGGGGCACTATTTGGATGACCAGTGCAATATTTGCAAAAACAAAGCAATATCTATCATAAAACAAACAAGCAAAACGAATAAAAACGAAAGAACCACGTGTTAGCGTTAATTTTTTTGCTGTTGTGTTTTGCTCAAATTTTTTACATGCGTTCCATACCAGATGAGCAACAGCTTCTATTGAATCTTGAAGTTTGTTCACACTTCGGCCCATTTGTCATTTACGGCTAATTGAGCGCCAGTAAACCTTATTGATTTCCGTTACCCTGTTCAATTTCTCGCGTAAAACTATTTTTCACATTGCTTGATTGTAATAGTCCCTCTATTAGTGAAACCACAGTATCGATTGGCTATAATTTTTTGGGCTGAGTTAGTCAGCTAACTTGATGGTGAACAGATTTCTCCTCCATACTTCACATGCAACGTCACACTTGAAGCCATAACAAAACATAATCCTACTTAGGAGAAGGAAACTGAAAATTTAGGGCTTTGGAAATTAACGTTCTCCAATTGATATAACATTTTACATACCGTATAATTAGGCTATGACAAACATATTTGAGAATACTTAACCTTGTAAAAGCACTCGTTGCATCATAAAATTGATGATCATGCGAGGTGGGGGAGGAAAAAAATCAATAAGGCCCTTGTCGCAGGTGTCAGAAGGTATTTATGCACTTTTTGATCATACGCTGAAAGTTACGTAAATAGCATTCTCCAAATACGAACGTGGAAATGGCGCGAAAACACGTGAACGTGGAAATGGCGCGAAATTTTCCAGTGGAATTAAAACTTTACTCAAATTGGGTTAATGTTTTCAAAAAAAAATTTTCATTCATTTTCTAGCCATTTTTTTATTATTTAAAAATATAATACTGAAGATTTCAGAGAAGAGTTTAAATTAGACGAAAAAAAATAAGTAACCAAGTTAAAATAAGAGACCAAAAAAAATAAGAGACCAAGAAAAAATAAGAGACCTAGAAAAAATAATTGACCAATAAGTGACCAGGTCACTTAAAGTGACCAGTTTGAGCAGCCTGTTAATAATAATCTAGCACAATTTTGCAGAAGTTCTATATCCTTTCTCAGAAACTAGAAAAATTCGGAAAATTTTGAACAATAGGAAAATTGCAATACATCTGATTAAACATACCAAGATCTCCAATCATTAAGAATTAAATTTACGATAAGAACCATATGTTACAATTTCAAGACGTTAAAATAGTTACAAGTCCTTGATCCAGTTAATAAGTGAGTTGTAATACAGCCTGTATGTATCTGTTAATCATCATCATAATCTGTTTAGTGTAAGTTCTGCCACAGAGCTTTTCTGTTTACTTCGACTCTGCGAAGCACACTTGGTCTGTTTCAAAGTCAAACAGGGTGTAGTAGGGTCCGATGAAGACATCTCCCAGGATCCACTGAGGTCCAGTGGGGATTTCGAGGCCAATGAATCCAGACAGACATTCGGTCTGTCCTTGCGAGGTGACCTGCAGTACATACTGCTCGGCAGTCAGTGTGAAGTCCTTTCCGGCGATGGTGAAAGTGACGTCTGGCATGGAGTCCAGCTTCTTGCAGTCCACCAGGTATTCTCCCCCCACGATGGGAGTGGCTCCAATGGCCTACAAGAACATGTGAAGAATAAGTTTTTGAAAAAAAACTACACTCACAAGCCTGCTAGAATAAATAGTTAATTCGTGTTAGATTACAGAACATAGCAGGGGAGAGAGATGTCATCCATTTTGCCGTAGCGGTCTAATCTTGAGGCCGCGGATGATATTGCGACCCCTCCAACCATGACCAAAGCAGGATTCGAACCGACGACCTTTGTATTAAAGGCCGCCCGTCTTACCCACTCAGCAAAAGCTGCTCTAAGTGTCACCACTTCGAAAATCAAGGTTCATAGACACTTGAAAATCAAAAAGATCTATAGATACGAGTCATCACTTAGTTCGTTGAAAATTATAAGTTAGCCAACACACGCTTGGAAAGGAGTCAATGAACTCAAGGAAACAGGAAAATTTACTGACTTGTTTTTTGAATTCAACTTTTGAATTTCAAAGAAAAATATGTGGCCTTAAAGATCTTTGAATTTATGAACAATTTGTGATTCACACTTTTTTGATACAATTAAACCAATTTGAGAAAACTGGATCAATAGATGACGTTTTTTATTCTACTGGGAAACCTGAAAAATAAAATCTGCTGTGGAAACTGCAAGTCAATCACATTTTTGTGACTTTTAAACTTTTGCTGTTCGTTACTGGAATTTGCCTTCCTTTTAACAATAGAAATAAAGTGATTTAAATAAAAAATCAAAACTCAAACCTCAAAAAACCGAACTAGAGCGCGAACAAATTTCAAGACTTTTTCTTAAAAAAAAACAAAAAACAATCACCATGACATATAAGAGTCTTCACTATGTTCATTACTCTAAACACAGTCCTTTCCCAGTTCAAGACAACTGGATTGTTTCTTTAAATTAGATTGATTATGTAATAGAGCTGAAATTTTTTTGATAGTTCCTGCACTTGATGAACAACTTAACTACCTATACCCACTCGGCCAGAGCGCTGAGTACAACAAAAACATATGCAAACGACAGTTGGAAAAGAATGACGACCGCAAGGAAACAAAAAACTTACTTTGAAATTTGCCCTTAAAGCCCTTTGAGTTTGAAAAAACTTCAACTTTTCATTTTTAAAGAAAAATATGTTCCCTTAAAGCCCTTTGAGGAATAGCTTATGATTTGTGTTTTTTTTGAAAAAATTAACCTAATTTGAGAAAACTGGATCAATAGATAAAAATTTTATTTCGCTGGGAAATCTGAAATGAATTCCACTTTCGAAACTAGAAGTCGACCGTTTTTCGTGACCTTTACAATTTTGCTGTTCGATAATGGAGTTTGTCTCCTTTCAACCAGCAAAATAAACTGATTTTTAAAAGAAACTAGGATAGCCAGTTACTGTGCAAGTAGCACATAATGTTCCGACCATAGTCTTTAAAAAAACTACAAGATACAGCTGTTTTTTTATCAAATTAGTTTTCTGCGTGGGGTGATATAAAAGTCTGATGTAAAACTATATTTTAGGTATATTTGACATTCATAGTAATACAGGCAAAAAGACACAAACATTTTTCAGAAATTTAACAGTGAAGATTTTGTTTCCCACAATGGAGCTAAAAAACTACAAAAATTAATTTTACTTGGTTAAAGTTAAGTTTTCAGGGCTTAAATTTTAAATTTCTCCTAATTAAGCTGTTGTAAGCCTGCTCGCTTGCTTTATTCGTTCGAATTAAGACGCAAAATCAAAAATTTCAAACCCGTTTTTCTCAAACCTGGGAAAATTTTTTGGAACTTTTAATGTGGTTCGAATTACGACTGAAAGGGCTTTAAAATGATATATTACTCAACCCAGTCCGATGATTGTTTGGGGTACCTGATTCTGCGTGGAAAAAACACCTGAATACAATGTTCCTCCCCATTTTCAATGGTCGGAATAAAAAGTCAAACTCAAGCGCAAAATCAAACTTCAGCGTGAACAAATGTTAATCAATACGACCTTTATGTGAGTGCAGCTCATATTTGCTCTGCGAGTGAATTGTTGAATTTAGAATTAGTCACCTCTTGGATCTTTTTGACCTCAGCCACTGGTCCTGCGAGCAGTGAGGTTCCTGTGTCGGCTATGGCCTGGCATCCATTCTCACAGAATGACACTCCAGACCCACTCACGGATCCGCCGTCCATTTTGAACTGCCAGTATGTCTTGCTCGTCACATCAGTACAGGTAAAGTTACCTGTAACGATGCAAAATAAAACAGGGTCAACAGACAGGAAAAAAATCAATGAACGCAAGGAAGCAGAAAACGAAATACTGAATCGTTTTTTAAAAATCTCAAATTTCGAATTTCCATGAAAACAAAATAGATGGCCTTACAGCTCTGAACTTCTAGAACAATTTATGATTGACATTTTTTGATTAAATACACCCAATTTGAAAAAAGTGGATCAATAAGTCGTGACCTTCACACTTTTGTTGGTCGATAGTGGAGTTTGCGGATCGTTTCCTCCAACCACATTCACCTCACTCGAGCATCAGTTTTGCTGTGTTACGATTCGTTTTACATATGGTTGATTATGTAGACCAAATATTTTTGTCATGCCCTAAGTAGTCCGTGTGTCAACTTTCATAATCTTCAGGAAATGTGAACAAAAATTTTACCAGTAAAAATTTGCAGGTGGGGGGAAAGGAAAAACAGCCGAGTTTGCCTTCCTTTTAACAAAGGAAAGAACTGAACTTAAAAAGAAATCAAAAGTCAAAACAGGAAAAATTAAATTTGAGCCTGAACAAACTTAAACTTTGTTTCCTATATAAGAGTCTGAACTACGTTCATCGACTCTTAAACATTAATTTTAGACAACAAATACTTGCTACTACTAACTACACTTACCAGCGTGTAACGCGCCTCCGAAGCTTGAAAATTACTTCATTCATATATGAGATACTTGTTCATTTAATTCTTTATTTTCATTAGCCCGTACGTATATCATTTGCTGCCATCAATAGTTTAATCCCGCTTAATTTGAGATATGCATCAGATTTTTTTTTAAAGTCTAATTGTTAAAAATTACTTACAGACCAGCAAAAATCCATATCTAGGCAACAAAGCCGACCAAACATGAGCAGACACACAACAGTTCGACAATTATTCGAAACAAAATATTTCCCTTTTGAATAAAAGAAGTTCTGGCCGGGTTCGAACACATGATCTTTATCACCTCAGACGTAGTATTTTTCTCATAAACCATATGTGCCTGAGAAACTAACAAAGTTTGATTTTGATGTGAGCCAAGCTATCATATGTTTATCTGTAAATATTTTGTAAAACAAGAAAATTTCGTGATGCATCAACTAAGCCGACAAAACATAATCAGAGTAACAATAGTCCGAAACAGAATATTTTGTCGTTTAAAACTTAAAAGAACTGTCAATAGTAACAGTTGACCGGTAGAACTTAAATTTGCACGCGAATGAAGTCTAGTGATTCAACTGATTTTGTTAAACAAGTTGTTAACCCGGAAAAAGTCCATATTCCAGTTGGATAACGCTTGCTTATCGCAAGCATAAATATCATTTTTCTTAGTTTAATTGTTAGTTTATAAAAAATTTTTGAAAAATCATACAAAAAAAGTCAAAAACTTAAAACATTTTAGTACTAAAAATAAGATGGAGGCCAAATCTGTAACTGCTGCTAGTAACTTGACTTCAGCTCACCAAAAAATCGACAATTTCAAATTTTGAAAAAACTATATATTTTTTTAAAATTTAACACTTGAAAATTTTTGGAAAACCAAAACTAGCCAACAGACAGTTGGAACAGAATCATGAACGCAAAGAAAGATGAAAAAACACTGGCTTGCTTTTTTTTAATTTAAACTTTCGAATTTCTAAGAAAACCATATATGCCCTTAAAGCTCTTCGCATTTCAAGGAAAATTTGTTTTCAACATTGTTCTGCTAAAAAATCCCAATTTGAGAAAACTGGATCAATAGATAGTTTTAAATTCGCTGGAAAATCTGAAAACAAAATTTCATTTTCGAAGCTAGAAGTCAACTTTTACACAAGTTTTTCATTACCTTTACACTTTTGTTGTTCGATAGTGCAGTTTGCCTTCTTTTTAACAAAGGAAATGAAGTGAACTTGAATGAAATCAAAAGTCAGAAGGGAAAAATCATGCTTTAGAGTGGAAAATTTTCAAGACTTTTTTCTGAAAAAAAAAACAAACAAAAAACTCACCAAGACCTATATAAGAGTATTCACTATGTTTATGGCTCTTAAAAAAGCGTCAGATAGATAAAAGTAAGAGGCGTTGTGCAATCATTCTGTGAGTCCAGATAAAAAACGCTCGAAACCTTAGATGTTTGAGGAGTCAAATGTGATGGCAAGATTTACGCAGGCAGTACGCTGACAGCACCCAACTAAAGAGATGGGAACTTTGTGATCTTTTTAATCAAGTTTTCTTAAAAAATTGAAAAAAGTCATAAAAAACGTCATATCTCAGGAGCTTAAAGGATTTGAGCAGCCTCATTTAGGAGCTGCCACAATTTGCAACGCCTGAGAGTACCCTGACAGTACCGAGTTGGTAATTTCAAATTTTGTGCCGTTTTTTTATATCTCGAAAATAGAAAATTTTTAAAAAAGCATTAAATACCGTCTTATCTCGTCAAGTAAAAAGATTTGGGCACTCATGTTTGGAGATCAAAATCACAACCCTTAGGGGAACCCGGACAGCATGCGACTATTGGGTCGCTGATTTCAAACTTGTTGAAATAAACTCTGAATTCATGCAGGAAAATCGAAAAAAAATTCTTAACCATTGCAATATACAATATACCTTAAACGTGAAAAAACTCTGTCGTTAGACATGCAAGAAGTACGTCGAAACAGCTTCAACCTGCCGAGATTGTGAAGCCCGTATTTAAATATATCACAGATTATTTAAAAAATCAACAAAAACTATTCTTTGGCAACCAAATCTGAACTAAAAACTCTTCATCTCAACTGTCACTTTCCTCCAGCAAGGAGTGTAGCTGATCAATTTTGAGCGTACACTCTTAAATTTTCGTCAAAACATCTTTGGTCAAATGCAATATAATTTTCTGTTAAATTTCATGAATAGGAACAGCCCAAAACCCAGAGCTAGATCAAAACCAACCAGTGTAATGGTCAGGGTTTGCTCCTCCGAAGTAGATTTCTCCACCTTCGGCGCTGTTTAGGTCCCGGTTGAGCCAGAAACCGAACTTGTTGGCCGACACCAGTCCCTGATCCCAGGCGTTGTTGAACCAGGGCTCCAGACCATCAACTGCGATCGAGGGGTAGGCCATTCCAAGAATACCGTCGAACTTGGCTGCCACAAACGTGACTCCGGGTTCTTTGGTCGCTTCCCCAAACAGCTGGTTCTTCACTGAAATTTCAGCCACGGACACCTAAATGGCATTGATCGGTGATTTTTAGCTCACAATAATTATTTTAATTAGAATTAATTTACCTCTGCTTGTAAGTCTGAAATTGTAACCAAAGAGTTACAACATTTGGCATGATAACGTGCCTCAAAACTTTAAATCGAAGAAATTGTAAACAGTATCTTCAGCGACACTGATTTCAATTAAGTAGACAGCTTAGATTTAGCTGAACTTTCAAGGTAAGTTTTGAAAAAAGCGACTCCTTGCCCGTACCCCTGCCCCTTTTATTTAACTACAAAATCTTAAGCTTTCGCATGGTCCAACGATCATGAACATTGTACGCACACTAATTAGCTATACATAAAATACCTTTGACCCGCAAATATTACTCAGTAAAATCATTTACTTTTGGCGAATGAGGGTAAGAGTCGAGAAACTACTCACAGTATCACTACTGACAATTCCAGAGCACTCTCCAGTTCCGTACTGGATCGCAAACTTAGTTCCATTGGCCTGGTAAGAGGTGCTCTGAGTTGAGTCATACTTGTCGTGCAACAGACATGCGATATTGGTGAAGGAGCATTTCTTAGAAGGAACCCACAGGTTGGAGGATCCAGTGTCAAAGATGACAGTGAATGTCTGGCAGGGCGTTCCGATACAGATGGCTCCGTAGTACTGGGCGTCCATGTAATCTGTGAGATGTTCCGCCCTGTTCGCGTGATACTTGTTCGCCTTGAGCTATTACAAAACAAACAACGCCAGTTATTCTGGACGAATAGCAATGACAATCCATTTGGGAGCCAAAAATTCTGTTTTGAAGCCAAATTATCAAACTTCTCTAAAACCAACAATAAGTTACTTTTGCTGGTGAAAAATTTAACTGTTTGAGTAGCAAGCGGGTAGCAAGATAGTAGGAAAAACTCACGTGCTTATGTATAAAAACGCCTCAAAATGGCCTTCAAATTCTCATGCAGATTATTTAGTTTCATTTTGTTGGTAAATGCCGTTAACTTTCCAATAATTTAAAAGAAGCTGTCAATTTTTTACGCAGATTAATTAGTTTTTTTTGTTGGTAAAGGCAGTCAAATTTCCAATAATTTGGTAAATAATGTTAATTTTCTACGCAGATTATTTAGTTTCATTTTGTTGGTAAACGCAGTTAATTTTCCAACAGATAGAATCTAATTTCCATACACATCATGATTAATTTAAAACTTCTGAATACCTGGCTGTTGGCCTTGGTGATGTCGTACATCTCGTCCAGTCGGTATCCCTTGTCAGCCAGAGTCTGTCTGGCACTGGGCACCCGCATCAAAGGCACCTTCACTGCCGCCGCAGCCAGCCCACTGAAATTTGGAGAAATTATTGAAGTTTTTAGTTCGACAAAATCCCCTTTGTATTCGAGTGTGTATTTAATTTTTAAACTTTTCTACGCAGAATCAGGTACTGCAAATAACTGTGTGGTGTATCATATTGTAACCCTTTCAGTGATTTGATTGGTTTTTAAAATTTCGAAAATTGAGAAAAAGGAGTCTGAGGTTTACAGACAAATATAGTGCTAAGAAAGAAAATAGGTTTCCTTTTTTTTAGTGATTTTAAGCTGGTGAAAGCGATAAAAATTTCATCATCATTATCCGTTTGTAAAGTCTAGTAGTTTGTTCCAAATTGAATTTTGCCACAGATGTTCAAAAAAGTTCATCTGAGAAGGATTTAACTTTATCATTCGTCTGGATTTGAGCCATATCCTACAGATCTCAATCAGCTCGCTTCTTCCAAGGCAATTGTCAGCGCAACTTAATCTACGTCCAGGTAATTCACTAAATTCATGCACATGATATTATGTTGTTCCGATCATTAAAAATGGGGAGGAACTGCTATTCGGTGTTTTTTTTTGGTTCGTTTTCCACGCGAAATCAGAAACCACAAATAATCATCGGAAAGGGTCGAGTGATATATCAAATTTAAAATTCTATCAGTCTAGAAAAACTATTTAAAACTGTTTTTATGAGAGCACGCTTTTTGTAGAATGATAAGCCATTAGATTTTACTACTAACTCCATTCGAAATTTTACGAAGTTTTTTAGCACCATCTTTGGCAATGAAAAACTTCAAAAATTAAGAAAAAATAAAACATTCCGAGGGCCAAATTTTTGTATAAAAAAATGCAGGCTTAGCCGCTCGTAGAGGGGAGCTTTTCAGATCTGTTCTATTCAAGTAAACTAAAATCTCAGATTTGGTAGGTTAGTTTTTCAAAAAACAAAACGAAAGAAAAATCAAAAATATCGGTCAAATATTCCCCCACAGTGTTTTTCGAAGGCTGTCGACAAAGACAAAGGTGTAAAACAAGAAGAAATCAGGGGAGTATGCAAGCACACAATGGTGTAGAAGATCTTGCAATGGATAAACCTTTTTTGAAAAATTTTGAAAAAAAAAGTGGTAAAGTTTTTTAAGTTTTCCAAAGCGTCTAAGCAAACAAAATAAAAAACCCAATCCCATACATTTTCATTATACCTGTTTGTATCAAGCAGGAATTCCAGGCAAATATGCCAAGCATGACATTTGAAAATTAAAACATAGCCAATCGAAGATTGGAAAAGAGTAATCATCGCAAGTTACATAAAAAAAAACACTTTCTTGAACAAATCTCAACTTTCAAACTTTAAGGGAAAAAAATAGATGCCCTTTATGCTCTTTAAATTTCTAGAACGATTTATAATTAGCACTTTTTGATAACATTAACCCAACTTGAGAAAACTGGATTAATAGGTAAAGTTTTTATTCCGCTGGAAATCTAAAAAATAAATTCCACTTTCGAAACTAAAAATCGTTCACAGTTTTTGCGCCATTTCCACATTAGTTTTTGAGAGTGCTATTTTCGTCACTTTCAGCAGATGAATTTCAATTGAGCTAAAAAAAGTGCATATATACCTAAGTGCGTCAATATTTCCTGAAAAAAAAATGAGCAAGACCTATATAAGAGTCTTCACTACGTTCATTACTCTTAATTAGCAACTAAAAAAAACGTACGAAGCGGAAACAAGGCCGCGATCTTTAAGACACCAATTGCGCCGAAAAAAAAACTGATTTGGTTAAAAAAACGGTCAAAAGTTTCAGCTCCCCTAGAATCATCAACATCGCCTATATGGTACCCTAGGTATGGTGGTACCCTGGTATCATCAAAAACGCCTTTATGAGCAGTACTAATTGAACTTGAACAAGTGAATCAACTGATTTTGTAAAACTAATTGTTAACCCGAAAAAAATCAACATTCCGACTTGATAACGTTTGCTAATCGCAAGCGTACTCAAACAGGAACAAAGTGTTTGAATCAACAAAAAAACCTAAGCTTTGGAAAGAAACTGCCTGAAAAGCGTACCAGATAAAATAAATTGCATATTGAAAAAAAAACGTAGAATTAGCCGACAAAAAATAGTAGGAAAATCAAAAGTCCAAAAAATCAATGTTTTCAATAAATTTAATTAAAAATATCTAAAACGAACAAATAGGAAGTTTTAGCCGAATTTTCAGGAAATTGAGCATGTATGAGCAGCAGCAGCGAAAAAAAGCAGCATAATTTGCAAGAAAAAGCTACTTACGGGGAAAATGTTTAGTTCCAGATTACAAGACACTTGCTTTCGCAAGTTTAACAAGGAATGAAAGAGCTTTAATATGGTATATCACTTAAAACCATCTGGAGTTTATTTGTTGCACCTGGATTTGTTTTAATCATCCGACTAAAGTAATCTTTTTGTTAACTTTTTTTGTTAACTTTGCGAAGTTGTCTCGGCTATTAAAAAGGAATCGAAATAACTCTACGAAACATTTAAGCCTTGGGAGTAAACTTTCGCGACCCCTCGTCAAACGGTCAAATGCTCGAAAAGCAGAAGTGACATCGGTTTTTCTCTACATGAACCTTTTTTTTTAAATACCGTATCCGAATTCAAATTTTGTGTACGTGAAATACCCCAGTTTCGTCTCAGATTTAATATTTCTGATTTCTTACCCGCTAATAGGGCATAGTGCTTTCCCTCTTTAAAAACAATTTGCCGGATCTAATAACAGAAAAAAGGCAAGAAAATCCAACATTCAACTTAACAATTAAAAAAAAAACACTATACTGCGGGATTTAAACCCGGACCATAGGCCACTTGATTTGACAACTTAGTCATGGCTCCCACCGGCAGCTACTTTTACAAATACTTCATTCTTAGATACCATGAAGCAAAGAGTGCGCTTTAACAAACATAATCTAGATTATTGGCTGTGTAATTAAATGTACTTGAAAACTGTACATCAAAACGAGCGACTTGCGTTGGAAAAAGAAAGACAGACCAATTTTTTCGAGATTATTTGTCAAAATCTTCTATAAAACACAGCTACAGTAAAAAAAAAAGCTTTTACAAATCATCTGAGCATAATGAAGTCTATTCTCTCTTTCTCTAGCCAGGTATGCTTGGCAAACAAATTACAGCCAATCAAAGCCCTTCACTGATTTTCACGCTTTTTTGAATTTTTTAATGCTGAACTCAAGTCAAATGATTTCAAGTCAAATTGGTTTATTTGACTTGAAATCATTTGGTCATTCAGCGACGCGGGATTCAACAAAAAAATTCCTGAGGTTGGGCTAAACGTTTGCCATGAAAAATTTAATATTATTGGCGGTAGTTCACGGAGCATTCCGTAACAGCGTAAACTTATTGAAATTCCGGCAAAAAGACACAGTAGTCTATAATATTTTCAACAATACAAAGAACATATTCAGAATTTCAGCTTTGTTTGAGGTGAAAAAATCTATATGTTCAAAAACCCAATAGATATTCTTCAAGTACTATTTCGCAGGATCTTAAGCAGAGATATGGAGAGATATTATTTTTTGGTTTGAGACATCATTGTATACAGTTTCTTAGTCTAATCTACAAAACAGGAGTAATGGTGTGTCTTAATTTTCATTAACTTACCACGCTAATGCGAGCAGGACGAATTTTGAAATCATTTTGAGTGCAATAGAAAACCACAAATACAGCTGCTTCAAACTAGCCGATGAGAAGATTAATGATAATTTTCGAATGATAAGGAAATTTGCTCAGGATGTTGACCAAACAATGGTTTGTGCTAATCATTGTTTCGCTCAAGTTTCGTGGCGTGACTTTCGTCGAGGTCATGAACACTTTTATTTTTGGTACATAACCAATTAAGGCTAACATGTGGTAATAATCGATCGAACCAAAGTAAAAAACCACCCAAATACGAATATGTCTTGGGGAAAGTCAGATACATATTAGAAATTCCCAAACGTCAGAGCGCCAACGCAGACAAATAAATTGTCGCAATGGTAAATTAAAATCAATCGATTCAGTAAATAACGTATTTGATAAGACTACCAAATCAGAATTCTCTATTTGACTATTGTCGAAACAGAGACAAATCGGAAAAGCTTGTGATGGATACTAGGTACTAAACATATATAACCAGAGTAAACTAGGTATTGCACAAAATAAATAAATCTAAAACAACGACGCCAAATTTTTAAATTTAGTTTTAGATTTGGTATGATTTTAACCTAAAAACCTATTGAAAAAGTTTTACCTCAGAAATAACGCAGATAAAGAACCCAAGTAAATCCATCAAATTCAAACCCTGATTTCGGCGTCACGAAAGTAAATATTGGATCTTTTTACCTGTACCCCCTTGGTATCTAGTAATGATTTGCCACCCCTATAATGAACTTATTCAACGATTAAGCATATGTGGTAACAAATCTCCTCCTCCCTTTTGGGGAAAGGGGGGGGGCATAGTTAAAAAGATCCTACATATTAGCCAATAACTAAGCGGTCCACTTGAGACATCTAGTATCTTTATGAACTTGCTGGCATGTAATACTGCAGAACTTGAACCCACACTGTACACAATTGTAAGTAGAGGCGAACCCGCAAACCGAGCATAACTTCTTCGGCGCCCTGCAACTCAGGGGCGCCGCACTCGAGAAGTAATTTGGGGTCTCTTTGTTCAAGGCAGCTTCTTCTTCTACCAAATTTTGGAGCGTTTTTCTGAATCTTTGCTTGTAGTGATCGCCTCTGATTTTTCGTTTCCGATTTTTTCCGCCTTTAGGCAGGGCTGAGTGTTATAACATTAAAATTTTATCGAGTATTACTGAAACAGTATTGGTAATTATGATAGGATTAAACTGGAATACTTTTCGAAAAACGAAATTTTCACTTCAAATAATCGGTTCAGAGGCTTAGAAATTGAATGAAAAAAATATACCTTATAGTCAACCAACCTATTTTTTGTAGCTTTACCAAATCACTAAACAGACCTTATTTTGACCAAACTTTCTGAGCAGGCCAAATTTTCTAATAAGCAGGCCAAAAGAGTGTTTTAGGGCAGTTTTTGGAAAGTTTTGACAAGAAAATCTAACTGATGCAAAAGAGCCAAAAATGCGTGTCTTGAAAAGTATCAAGGGGGGACCCTTTGGGTCGCCAGGGGGTCGAATCCCCGAGGGAGGGGGCGTCCCCCAAATCCGTTACTGACTAGTGATTCGTTACAAGGTACAATTTAGGTTTATGCTTAACCGTTGAATTAGACTTTTATAGGGGTGGAAAAAACTATAAAAAACTTGTTTCAAATTGGGACATATTTTGCAGTTTCTCAGCCGTGCCTTTTGATTTGTCCTCTTGGCCTTCGACATGTAACATTTTCTTATTGATGAAGATGAGGTTGGCATGTGGATCTTCCTGGAAGTTGTCCTTTTCCAGGGAGTCCAAATGTCGCTCCAGTCTCCTCTCCCTTGAGATGTGATCCAGCACTTTCTTGTCATTCACTATTTTCTGTCGTTCACTCTCGCGAGCCACCATTACAGACATGATTCAAATCTTTAATGCGACATAGATTAAAAACGAAAGCGAAGTAGAACTCTCGCTTGCGATATAAAACATTGTCAATGTCACAGACCGAGGTCGTGCTTCAAACCTTCGACTTTGAAATCAGGAACCTCAAAAGATACAGCTCAGTATTTCACCTAGTCATTATAATACTAGATGAGTATTAAAAAGAGTAAAAACTTTGAATAAATTGAAAATGAAACAAAATCAAAACAACGAGCTTGCCTTAATTTGCTATAAATTATTGCTTAGTTGTTTTTATCAGCATTAACTCGAGTGGCAGTTCTCTTCTAAAAATCGTGCTAGCTTTCCCAATTTAACTCCCAATCTAAATAAAACCAGTTCGGAATCCACAGTCGACAAATTTTTTTTATTACGGCCTTCTGTTGTAATCTGACCTCGAGAACTATGGGAACTTGTGTAAAAAGATGGTTGAAAATTAATAGAGACAGGGGCGGATTTAGAGGGGGGGGGGCGGACGCTCCCCCCCCCCCCCTCTCCCTCAGGGATTCGACCCCATGCCGACCCAAAGGGTCTCCTTTGGTATTTTAAAAAAAAATCCATTTGAGGCCGACCGACCCTCAAAATATACTACCTTTGAGGGGGAGCGCGCGCCAAAAAAACGCGATTTTTTGTCAAAATTTTCCAAAAAGTGCCCAAAACGGCTTTTTTGACCTGTTTTTTCAAAAAAATTGCAAGCGACGCAGAAAATTTGGCCAAATTACTGTCTTTTTAATGCTTTAGGAGAGCTCGGAAAATCAATTCAGTCGACCTAAGAAATTCAGTCCTCGAGAAAGTCCTGGATCCCCCCTCGAGAAAGTCCTATATCCGCCCCTGAATAGAGAGCTTGGAGTTATCAACTTGAGCGGTTATCACTCGATTGAATATTGCTGCCCCAAAACAGTTTGTGCTGGTGTTTATGTCAAAAATCTCCGCTGTAACGGATTGCAAATTATAACACTCATATTACCAAAGGGCAGCTTAAGCACGACCATAAACCACATGTACCATGTCCCACGTGCTGACTTTGGAAAATTAACCGGACTTGCAGATGATCGTCTCAATGATATGGCATACCTGAATTGAGTGAAATCATTACTGCCGTGATGTTATCATTGAACACATGAGAGCAAACTGATTCAGGACTAATATTCAAGATTTTGTTGTGTTCCCATTCTTCATTTCAACTCATCTGCTGGTCCGCGTCAGCAAAATACTTCTAAATCAATGATTGATTTTTTGTATTTTTTTTACAACAACTACGAAGTCAACGGTACAATTGAGAAGATATAGGTACAGAAATAGACTATATTGTGAACAACTGCATCTTCAGAATAAAGATATCGAAAAAAACTTTGGAAAACAAGCTGTGGAACGGAACGTATAACAAATGAGGATGAGAGTGGAAAATTCTTAAGCTAATCTTTAGTGCCAATCAAAAAACTAATGCAAGCAGTTCTAAACAGTTCTAAAAAGTTAGCTTTGATATTATTAATTTCAAAAGCGTTGAAGCTTTTTCAATTGGAAAAACTAAAACCGCAGAACGCAAAAATTATTTGATTGATTCCTGTTTAAGGCATCCAGTTTATTTTTATTGAGCCTTACCTGTCCGATTTTGAAAAAATTGGAGTTCGGAGTGCCCAAAGGCTGCATCTTAGGTTTTTTTTTCTCTTCATTCATTACATGAATGAGATTAATAATTACTAAGACAATCTTCATAATAAATTTTACGCTGACGAAACAGCTCTGATTAATGATCCAGGCAAAAAGACTGAAAAAAAACTGGTTGACGTAAACAATTGGGTGATTGAAGACAAAATATCTCTTAACAATGAAAATACAAAATCGCTGAAGTTCTAAAAAACAGAAACACAAGAATTATAGATGGTGTCATTTGAACAAAGAAGAATAAAAAAGTTTCAAGGTTAAATACCTAGAACGCACAAAGATCGCGAGTTCAATTTCAAAAAAAAGTACCAAAGAAAAAAACCGAATAAGATTTATTTATTAAATTTATTTAAGTTATTTTAGATCTGTGAGTAAGTCAAAGTGAAGTTGAACGCAAGCAAATTGGGACAAAAGCGTTGTCCATCTCATAAGTTAACTCGGAACTTTGTAGAAAGCAAAAGGATAGAAAAGTTAGCAGACAAAATTGAAGCCGACAGCCAATAAGCTGAAAAACAACCGAAATTTATTTTAAAATTATGATATCCCCTCGTTTTCAAAACACACGAACAGAAGAAAAAAATTCGAAGCCACTAAATTACGACTAGTCTGCAGATGTTAAATTAACAAAACACTGAAATGAACTAACTATGAATGGTTATCACGAGATATTTACATCTCGTATCAATCTGAAATAAATACTGATGATGATTACACAAAGGCGAAGCGGAGCTTCGCACCACATATGATACCACACAGACATAGTATTGCGGAATATCAAATAAAAGATGAAACAAAAATCAATACATCGAAAAAAAAGATTGCAAAAAAATTCATTTTTTCCTTTAGCACGTGTCTGAAGAGGGGGTGTAAAATAAGTTTTCTCATCACACGACCGAAAAAATGTTCATTAAGCCGATCAAATACGAGCCAAAATCAATTAGGGCAAGATGATCTCATAATCGAGAGAAAAAAAGTCTGAGGTAGTATTTCTACAAATTACAGAAATAACTCGAAAAAAACTTGCACCTGCAATGAAAACTGCTCACAGCATTAGAAAATTCCGATGTGGCAACTAAGCCGACAAAAAAGAGAGGCCGACAACAATCAAACTGCCGACAGGCCTTTAGACTTTTTGAAACAAAAAAAAAGTTTTGAAAAAAATACAAGTCCTGCCCCGACTCGAAACTGAGATCTTTGCCGTTCCAGGCGTAGCTATTAAGCCGACAACAACAAGTTGGTCGCAGATGCCGAAATATTAATTTATTATATATCAAGCAATCACTTGAGTGATTCATTTACACTAGTTGTTAACGAAAAAAGTCTATATTCCGATTTGATAACATAGTAATCGCAAGCGTTATAACAATGGACGTTTGAGTTATATACAAAAGTTTATCTTATGCCAAACTAATGTCAAAATACCCTATAGGCATTATTCATAAAACTTTTTCCAATCAGCGCAAATTTTCAGAACTCACTCTCTGCTACGCTTGGTAGGAGTATTTCGGCTAATCAATACACATTCCGGAAATTGGACAAACTCCTTGTTCGCGTTCCGTGCGTGCAAAATTATTTGAAGCTATATTTATATATCACTCGGCCTACAGTTCTTTTTTCAAGTTTTTTTTAAAAACTGAATTCATTGTCTGTGTGTCAATTGTTCAATAATAAAGTGTAACTTAGTTTCTCAAGAGGCGTAATAAAGTAACCTTCCCCAAAGTTGATTAGCAAAAATTACTTGCACTGAAAATTGATTCATGGCATGATTGCACCTGACTGTTTTTTCCTAATTGTTTTGAACATAAAACGCCTAAGTTAATTCGACTGAAAGTTGATTCAAGATTGAATGTTTTGCTGAATGAACGAGAGTTAACTGACAGCTGTTTCGAACGGTAGACTTAATGAAAATCAGGCACTCGTCCAATAGTGAGACAGCGGTGATACAATTATTTTTGTCACGTTTCTAATCTGTTCCGTCTTGATAAATTGTCAAAACTGAGACTCAAAAACATTTTCCAATGCTTCCGAAAAAGTAACCATGAATAAGTGGCTTTCGAACAGCTCAAACGCAAAATTTGACTGCGGATGATGATATCCGCTCACAGCTTGCATCTCACATCTCAGCACTATAGCAAACTATCACAGCTGACACAGGACTCGAGACGAAAGAAGCATGGCAAAATTTCGAGAGCACGACAAACCGGGAATTTCATTGACTTCAATAACATTTAGCGTAATGGCATACTACCATTTAGCGTAGCGGCATTACTACCATGTAGCCTTTGATTTCAGTTTTAAGCGAAAGTTGAATAGCCAAAATCAATTCCACAGAAAATTGATTCTTGGCATGATTGCACGTGACTGTTTTTTCAAGGCTGTTTCGAAAAATAAAACAAAATTTATTCAACTGAAGTTTGATTCATCGCCTGATTGAATGTTTTGCTGCCTGTACATGAGTTAATTAACAGCAGTTTCGAACGGTAGTTTTAATGAAAAGCATGTACTCGTCTAATTGTGATACTTCGACGATACAATTTGTCACTTTCCTGATCTGTTCCGTGTTGATATTTTGTCAAAACTGAGACTTGAAAACACTTTCTATAGCTTTCGAAAAAGCGGCTTTAAAAACAGATTAAGGAGAAATTTAACCGCGTTTCATGATATGCGCTCACAGCTTAAGTTCTTAATTATGCGAGCTCTCACAACTCAGAACTCGAGCGATTGATCACAGCTAACGCAGGACTCAGAGACAAAAGGAACCATGGCAAGATTTCGAGAGCACGAAAAACCCGGACTTTATTTGATTTCAAAAACATTCAGCGTGGTGGCAGACTACCATGGTTGACTTCGACAAGTTAACACCGATCCTCAACACTTCAAATTGACGGATGTCTAACACTGTTCGAGATTGGACGGGGTTCGAGATCTGAACCCCACTTGTCACAACACCAATCTAGTCACAAACTCCGGAAAAAGTACAAGTACTGCGCACATCGATGTTAGCCATATATACTGCATGCAAGGTGGTATATGTGATTCGAAAAATGAACGGAGAACTCGCACAAAAAACGCACGCAAAAAACTTTGTAGCCTCTCAATGTGAAGTTTTCCTAGTCTACGGAGCATGAATCACCTAGTCTACGAAGCATGAATGAAATAAATATATTTTGAATAGCTATCACGAGTCATCTAATAATTGTCAGCAATAAACTTTGATATTGATTACACAGATGCTAAGCGGAGACCCGTACCACTTGCGATAACACACCAACATAACATCGCGAGGTAGCAGACAAATGATAATACGAACACCAATAAGTCGAAAAACTCCTATTACAGAAAAATCAATTGTCCTGAAGAATTGCCGGTGTTTAATTAGGTGAACTGCCGTTGAGTCAAAAACAATGGTTGTCATGAAAAACTTCGAGCTACGAAGTTTGAAAATCATAGATCTTTTCCTTTTGTGTGATTCTGGAGAGAAAAGCGCAAGAATAAGTTTTCTTATCAAACGACCGAAAAAAAAATCATTTGAACCAGGTACAAGCCAAAATCATTTAGGCGGAAGAAGAACTTATTCGAAAAAACAAGCAAAAAAAGAGAAACCAATAATGTCTGATTAGTACACCTAGAAATTAAAAGGTTAACTCGAAAACCTTAGCATCTAACTTGAAAACTGCTAGCAAAAGAAAACTCCGATATGGCAACAAAGCCGAATCAAAAGACAGGCCGAAAATAATCAAACAACCAATAGGCCTTCAAACTTTTTGAGACAAAAAATTATTTTCAAAAAAAATACAAGTCCTGCCCCGACTCGAAACTGAGATCTTTGCCGTTCCAGGCGTAGCTATTAAGCCGACAACAACAAGTTGGTCGCAGATGTCGAAATATTAATTTATTATATATCAAGCAATCAATTGATTCATTTACACAAGGTGTTAACCTAAGAAAAGAATATATAGCGATTAGATAACGCATGCTAATCTCAAGCGTAAAAATATTGGATATTTATTGTGTGTAATAAACAAACGTCAAAAGCGCTATAGACGGTATTTTTTTTTTACAACCAGCCCGACGTTTTAGAGTTCACTCTTGTTCTTGGCATTCCGTACGTGCCAAATTATTTGAAGCTATATTGATATTGCACGCGACTTACCGTGCTATTTTCAACTTTTTGCATTCTTAATTCATTTTCAGTAGGACAATTTTTTAATTATCTTTTTCATACTTTTAAGTTTCCCAGTAGTTTCCACGTCTATTTTTTCAACCCCTCCCAAGGTGAGAAGGCATATTTTTTCTCATTTTTTGTATGTTTCGAATGCCATACATTTATTTGCCTTAGAAACATACATATGTTTCTCAACCGTTTCTTTGCCTCATGGTTCTTCTAATAGAGGTACGTTTTTTCGGTCATTGACTTGTAGCCTTTGCTTTTAAATTTGAGCGAAAATTGGCGTAATAAAGTAACCCTCCCAAGGTTGATCAGCAAAAATTACTTGCACTGAAAATTGATTCATGGCATGATTGCACGTGACTGTTTTTTCCAAGCTGTTTCGAACAATAAAACGCCAAAGTTAATTCAACTGAAGGTTGAGTCATGGCCTGATTGAATGTTTTGCTGCATCTACGAGAGTTAACTCACAGATCTTTCGAGCGGTAGATTTAATGAAAATCAGGCACTTATCCAATAGTGCTAACTTAGGTAAACAGTCGCTGAATCGAAAATATGATTGTCATGAGAAACTTTGAGCTACAACTTTCAGAAAATCTAAGATCTTTTCTTTTTGTTTCTCCACAAACGACCGAAAAAATGTTCATTGAGCCCATTACATACAAGCAGTCAAAATCATGAAGGCCGAAAGAAAAATAACATCGAGACAAAAGCAAAACAGGAAATAATACGAAGTCGCAAACCTACTGTGCAAAAAGATTGTGTTTTAGTTCTCATCAGAATCATTACTTTCTTCAAATAGTGGTCAGAATTTTGATTTCAAAAACTTTGTCACATCTGGATCACATGAACTAATTTTAGTATTAAAAAAAAACATTCAATTTCAGCCATTATTTATTTCCATTTTCTTTACATAGACGACATAGTCAAAAAAAGTAAGTGAGACTGCAGCCGGTAAAATGGTGGCTAACAAAAAAGCGGATTCTCGAGCACCTCATGCAGATAATGTCGAAGATACTACAGTGCTGATTTAAATTAACCGGACAAAACGCGTTAAACTTGAAATTTAAAACGAGTTTTTCTCAAATTGGGTTGAGTTTAGGTGAAAACTTATGAAGACAAAACTTGCTTAAAATTTTAGCAGGATTAATATGGTGTAATTTGTTTTGCAAAATTCGGGCACAAAATTTTACACCAAAAATGGGTCATTTTGGCTTTTCTTAGTTAATCAAAAACTACGCCAAAAAATACCCAGTCGATCACAGACATAATTATATCAAAGTGAGCTCCTTACGTAGCCCAACAAACTTTCAGAAGGGCATATTCTCCAAAAAATTTGCAAATTGTTTAAAAATTGTTTTTAAACAAATAGTTGGTATTTTTTATAGTAAAAACGACCTTTTTTGTCTATCAAACAAAAATTAATTACTTTATACAATGTTTTGGTGAATAAACCCTTCTTAAAGTTTGTTGGGCTACGTAAGGGGCTCACTTTGATATAATTATGTCTGTGATTGACAGGGTATTTTCGGCGTAATTTTTGATTAACTAAGAAAAGCCAAATTACCCATTTTTGGGGTAAAATTTTGGGCCCGAATTTTGCAAAACAAGTTTTGTCTTCATAAGTTTTCACGTAAACTCAACCCAATTTGAGAAAAACGCGTTTTAAATTTGAAGTTTAGCTCGTTTTGTCCGGTTAATTTAAATCAGCACTGTAGAGACGGAGGCGAATCACCGCCCAAGAAGTTTTAGGCTATAAAATTGCCAGTAAGTACTAGAAACGAAGGCAATTCGCTTCGTGAAATTTGCGCTGAAAAAGTGGCTGACAGCAGAACCGAGGAAGAACCACCAATTGAAGAGCGCAACGAAACGTCACCATGTGCTAAAAGATGGGCTTGGCAACATACTGGAGTCTACGAGCCTTCAGGAAAGGTTTGATCATGATTCCAGTCCGGTTTCTGAATGTTTCTTTTGAAGTATTGATCGTCGAAGATAGCTGAGAATTGTCGATTTGGCGGTTTTAGTTAAGTTTTTAGGTCAGTTGTTTGAGCAATTGTGTTGAGATATTAACTATAAATGAAAAAGTGTCTTGCCTTCTGTTTTCAACTATAGACCAGGCGGTTTCTTTAGGCAACTCAAGCTGAACCAAAGCTTACTTGTTATATTCATGTTGATTGAGTGTGATTGGCAGCCGTGTTCAACTATTATGGGCACGCTGGCTGTCCTCTCAGAGGTAGCTGTTTCTCGTAAATGCTGTCTATTTTTTTTTTAAATATTCATTTCTTGAGAAATAAATCTTCTTCCTGTTTTCTGCGTTTATCTTAGCTCTGGTTATGGCTCAAAACTAAATTTGCTGCCAAATCTGCTACCTGATTACGCGCTTCAAAAGCAAAAAATTAATATTATTTTTTTCCGCGACATTTTTCCACGACACTAAAAACTCCTTCTCAGATTGTGAAGAGAAAAAAGTTAGTTAAGGCTTCGACGATTTTCTGAATTTGATATGGCTATCAAGTATGTCATTCATAACACATTTGGTTTTCTTACCTTACGTCATATTATCAGTGATCAAGAGCGGAAGCAATGATCAAGAGCAGAAAGGATCACAGAGTTGAACGAATCAAATCTGATTGGCTAATAAGAATTCAATTGTATCTGTGACTGCAACAGAAATACCTTATTCCATTCAGAGATTGTTCAAATGATAAAACGCAGACGAATACAAAAAACAAAGATTTCATTCACTGTACACACAGTAGCCTGTAAAATTATCAGTTCGGTCATCTGATTCATCTGATTTTGCAGACATTCTGCTCAGTACTTCGCTTACTCAACTTAGCAGTACAGCTACGCGTAATCTAAATCCTGTCGAAATTGAAATTATGGTAGCTGGAAGAAAAAAATGGATCTAAAAAATCAAGCAGAGAATAAAACGAGTTTGAGAAAAACGGTAATGTTTGGGCTTGAGATAATTAATTTCATATTTTGAATCGACCATCTCTTTATTCGTCATTGCCTATATAAATATTGCCTTTTCTGTGGTTTAAAAAGCAAATACCAAAAAATTAATTCACAGTAGAAGCGACATCCAATAATAATAGCTTGGTAAATAATTTTATTTATGCATTCAGTGCCATTGTCAACAATTTGTCCTGAATTGAAATTTGGTTTTCGATCAACTTGGCCAAGTACAACACCATCAAGTTATCTTTCAGACCTCGGTTGATTGTTTCTTTGAACTGTTCCGGTTTGACCTGCGGAAGATTCATAATGAGCTCTGTCAGCATTCGTCCCACGTGGCTGTCGCCGTGAACTTTCCCATCTAGCACAGATTCTACATACCCAATCAATTGATCAAGCCTACCCAGTATCAGTTCACAGCTAGAGCGCACTAGATCTATATCACTCAAGGCGGGAGAGACCTTGGACTTTTCTACAATTCCCTGTTTGAATATTTCGACCGCTGAAGTATCAGCTGAATGTTGCACAATGTTGAGAGTCACGGGATTAAACATATGTCCCAGAGTCTGTTTTGGTACTCCCATTGGAGAGCTAACAAAAGCCTTGACATCAATTCTTCGGTTAATTTTCGATATAGTTTCAACTAAGACATGCACAGGTGGCTTGACACATGCTCCTGTGTAGAACTCGTGAATCAACAGTGAATGCTCATTGATTGAATTGCCGGTGGCAAACCATCCAACAATTGTGTCTGAAGGATTTGCTTTCTTGTGCAGTTCAAACATTCTGTGAGCAGCAAGCTTATCAACTGCCACTTCATCGTCCGACTCTTTATGAGGAACCATAAAGCAAGCATTAACCTCAATAACACCCCCAGCATCATGAGATCCAAGAAGTGTTCCCATTACTCGTTGGTCATTGGCCCCTCTTCTTTCATAAAAATCAAGGACACAGAAAATTACATCCAGCTTTATGTTGACGTATTTGATGCCTCCGGAGACAGCCTCTTTTGATGACGCCATAACAGACTGAAGAAAATAAACTACTAAAAAAACATGCAATTTCCCACTCTACTAGGAGGCTTTACAGCGTTCGAGGAGTCGGATATTTCGCACAGCATCGCGCATTCTTAGCATAGTTGGAAGAATTATAGTTCACTCAGTTTGTTAACTTTTAATTGGCTGCCAAACAATCGATGCGATTTCATTCACACAAAAAATACGTATTTTGTTGAAACTATGTAACATTTCTTTTTCTTTTTCTTCTTTTTTGAATAATCAGAAGGTCAAAAGTATCATAGTAACCGAGGTTACAGTCAGGAGCCCCTTCATCACGTATTCCAGTCAAAATCCTTTAAATTTTCTAGATATGGAAGTGATAATGTTTAAAGAAGATGACAAGTGTTGATGTCCTCCTTACTATTAAAATAAATACGGGTTACGTTTCTTCAATAAGAACACGCTACTTGACACGAGAAAAAATAATAAACAAGTGTTACAAATAAAAAATTTCGTCGAAAATTATTTTGTCATTGTTCCGAGTACGCAAGCGGCGTTCCCAATCTGAATTGCCAGGGAGATTCTGTTTAAAGCTGCCTAATCTGGGTTCCTCAGTGCATATGCTGAGATTCTTAAAACGCGCTTGCTCAAAAAAAAATTGTGCTGGGGCCGACCGCGCACTGAATTGCAAAAGATAGCGGTTAAAAAAGATACCCATCATCTGCTTCTTTAAACTTGTCAATTTTTCGCTCTTCAGCTTCAGCCGTACCAGGGTTAAAAATAGACCCGGCACTAATCCTACTAGACGCTAAGGAGTCTACTAACGTTACATCCCACAAGAGCTGCTTACCAACATCCCGTGGAACGAGCGTCAAACCGTCTGGTCGCTTCTGATCGGTCCTGTAGAGGTTTCGTGGTCCTAAACGGAAGGTGAGTAGAAGATAAACTGTGCTTTAAAAAGGCAATCAGGTTTGAACGCCTAGAGAATCTCCTTGCATTTTGAGGCAAGAAAGACCATGCCAACCATCATCGGTAACCTTTTTTCCGCACAAGCATTGTGCCATTCTGCCAGATGACACAGCATAACCTTCCCGCGACAGAAATAAAAGTGACTAAAGGCCTTATGAACAGAAAAGTGTTGCGACGGAGGGTCAGAATGTTCTAGAATTTTTATTTTTAAAATTTCGATCGGAAGAAGAACATTTCTGAGAAATAGAAAAAAGACGGCCATTTTGAATAAAAAAGACGAAAATCAGAACAACGATAGAAATTGTGAAGAACGGTTGTATCAGAGACAGAAAAACACGGAGCCTCTTATCGTGGCAATAACACACGATAAGGACCTTAGTGACAGATATTTGTGGAGACGGAGGCTTCAGTGGGGGGAAGAGAAATACCACGGAACCCTCCCGGGACACGAAATATAGGAGATAAGAGTGTTATCTCAAGAAAATCACGGGAGCGGACGCTTGGTCCCCCAGAGACTGTTATATGTGAAGGGACTGGGTAAACTAACTATAACAGCTGCTGTAATGTCCTAGATCTTAATTAAACACCGATATTATTTGATATTTCAGGACATGAGTAGATAGAAAAAGGAAAGGGTCAATCCATCTCCAATGGATTTAATATAAAACTGTCACACAAAAACATAATAAAATAGGTTGTTCGAGCCGTGTTTTTAATGACAATCACGTAGTCTGAGGATCCGAGACTCAGCTATGTGGTTGTGTTCGCATGCAAACGAAAGCTGATCAAAAGTCGTTTGACTGATGGCCTAAAAATGGTAACTTTTTACTTTGCCCTAAACAGACCAGAAAATCAACTGGCAAGGTCGAGACGGTGAAAAACGAGTAGAATTAAGGTAACTGACGCCTGCCAGTCGTTGATAGGTACTTTTTCTACGCTCCGTCGCTGTGTGATATTTGGGCGAATGTTACATAGACGTTTTTATGGCGCTCCTGGGTGGGCCTGTTAAAGGCATGAAACCATCATGATCAGCAAGCGTTTCAGCGACGTACCCTCCGCTCCGGGCGTATGCCCGAGTTAGAGGCCTTAATGACCGTTATTGTACTAGGGGGAAGGTGCGTACCCTCCGTCTAGTGCAATTTAGCTTTTTAACTTGGTTAACACCGAAAATTCCGGGGGCCGGAGGGTTAGGTGGGAAATCTAGAGCCCGCTTGTCCTGAGGTCCCAGGACCAAAAACAATTAAAGAGAAAGCTTAAAACCAAACAAAAATAGTGTATAACCAAGAAAAAGCCAAAAACAAATTTATTTAAAAACAAAAAAGTACAAAAAACAGTAAAAAAATCCAAAAAAGACCAAAAACAGTAAAAAACATAAAGTGACAGTTTATATGTTATTTCCGGACGAGATGTGATCTGACCTTCCTATTTGTTGTTGTTTCAGATTGATTTATATCGTCTCTGATAGAGAGATTGTGTGTTTTGGTGAAGGGTTGGGTACCCTCCCTCGAGTGTAATTTGAGTGTTTAAGCACGTTAATGGTGATTTTGCCGGTGACCGGAGGGTAGAGTGGCAGGCTGATCAACGTGTTCCACACTCAACAGGGACATCAAGGACAACATCCGCAACGACTGTTGGGTATCGTTGAAGCAATTTTAGTATCGTTCGGGTACTATTTCCTTAAAACTTAAGTGGTGGGGGGCACGATTGGCGCGGTCCGATTGTACCCTCCATCGATTACAAATTTCCGAGTTAAGGGTCTTAATTCGAATATTTTGGTGCAAAGGAGGGTATAGTACTATTTATTAACGACTATTTATAGATTATTGTCCTTACTATATATTACTTATCTCCTATTTAGACCCAAGAAACACCCATTTTTTGTCGAAAATTACCAATTTTCGACCAAACTGTAGACCCCCAAATTTTCGGATATCCGAGCTTTTCCGATAGGCAAAAAGCTTTTATATAGAGAGTAGCCACGTAGTTCGATCCCCTTTATTAAAGAAACCGCGTGAGCAAAGATTCAGTGGAAGTTAGAAAAACGAGAATTTTTCGACCAAAATTTTGATAATTTTCTGTATTTTGTCAATCTGTTTTGGGGATCGAGTTTTTGAGTTTTTAGAGTTAGAGCAATAAAATTTTTGCGTTAGGAGCGTGCTAGCATAACGTGCTCGGTTACTAGAGAAATTTTTGGGTAACCCTCCGAGTAGCTCCGTGGATAGAGCTAACGACTTAAGGTTTGGAAAAGGAAGGAATCGGAGGGTCCAAATTTGATAGTTTTTGGCCAAATTTTTGTTTCTAAACCAATTTTGGTCCGGTTTTTTGCATTATTCCAGTGCCGTACAGGGCTACTACGCTCATTTCAAGTATTTTTAGGCACTTTCGACCGGAATTGCGAAAAAAGTCTTTCAGATCCTATACAGGTGGTGAAAAAGGCCATTTTGACAAACGCGTTTTTGGCGATTTCTCAAAGACTAGTTATCCGATCGGGATAATTTTGGTACCATAAGTCGACGTTTTTGACCACTTTTCCGAATCGCAACCGTTTTTGGGTTGATTATTTCGGAAAAGAAAAATTTTTTAGAATTTGTTGGTTCGGAGGGTCCAAGTAACGGGCAACCCTCCGAGCGGCAGAAAATTTTATCAAAACATCTTTTTATTCAACTGGGAAGGTTGACCGTGTCAGCCAACCTAGTTTTAAGTCAGGTAGACCGCTTTCAGAGGCTTTACTGCGGTGATTTAACCCTTTTTCTTGATTTTGGGGGAACCCTCCGAAGTGACCCTCCGGAGTCAGCTAAGCCCTTTAGCAACCCTCCTTAGTGGAAAATTTCCACGAGATCACCCTAAGAAGTTGAAACAGCTCCCCCTAGAACCCTTAGCTTATTTTGACGTTTTTTGAAGCTAGTAGGAGAACCTTCCAAGTGAGATCAGAAAATTTGAAAATTTTGGAGGTACCCTCCGAAGTGACCCTCCGGAGCGTATTAAGCATCTTATTGACCCTCCTTAGTAAATTTAGGGGGACCCTCCGAAGTAACTTGGGTGATTAAGATACCCTCCTAAGTAACTTGAGTGATTGAGGTACCCTCCGAGGTAACCCTCCGGAGTGTCTTAAACCTTCTAGCGACCCTCCTTGTAAGAGACTTGAGTAAACCTTCTGTGGCAATTTGGGAAACGGAAAATATCCATTTAATTAGGATCATATTAGGATATTAGGCGTGCTTATCAGGGTCATAAGAACCCATTCTGACCCGGAAATTCGTGATCAACTTTGGATTCTATATTGGGTGTATTAGAAGTACCCGAACAAGATTTTTTTTTTGATTGTGATTTTGGTTGAGTGGTTGCCTTGAGCTACTTAATAGGAAAGTTCGGGCAATCCGGGAACAAATAAAGGAAGACCTCGGTGGGTGTATGAAGCAAATACACACCCACTTGAGAAGAAGAATTGTTCCCTACTCTCGTGCACTTGGAGCAGTCCGAGTGTGGGAGAGCTTTTTCATAGATTTGACGAATTTTCGACCAAGAGGTTGCCTTGAGCTACTTAGTAGGACAGCTCGGGCAATCGCAGGACACCCAAAAGAAGACCTCGGTGGGTGTATTAGGCAAATACACACCCACTTGAGAAGACTGTGTCCTGGGCTTCGTTCTTTCGGATCGTTCCGATTGGGGGAAGTCTTTTTCTTTAAGACTAAGTTTTATTTATCTATTTCTGAATCATCACTGCTTTTTATCGAAGATTGTTTAATTTTAACAAAGCAGTGACTTGATAAATTGTGTGGCGATAAATTGATACTGACAAAAGGTCGCTGTCACCTGTAGGATATTCTTATCTGATTATCGATTGTGTTTTGTGTGTCGATTATATCTTGTGGAAACTTAGTGATACTGTTATACTATACAACCGGGTTGAGTTAGCATTATATCAATACTGGGTAGACCCTGTGTGTAACTTTAGCTGAGTCACTAATTTAGTCGTGAGAGATCTAAGAGACATTTTGATACTGACGGAATCGAGTAGGCAGCGTTAAGTGATTTAACTAAATCTTGTTTGTGGTACGTTTGCATTGCCATCAAATTACGAAT